ATGAGGGGGGGGGTACAAAGTCTGAAAATAAATTAATGCTTTGAAATCTGCTCTTTGGTGTTAATCAACCATTTTATGATAAAATTTGCAAAATTTTGAAATATGTTGCCCCAGGATCAGTGGTGGATGAGGTGCACAACTGGTTATAAAGTGGAAGTGCATTTTCTCTTAATGTTACTCTGATCTACCTCTGGGTATTGAGTAAACAGAGTAAGCATGCTAAGTCTATAATTATTATAAGCAATGGTACCTCTTTCAAAATTGTGAAATTGCGAATTTCATGGCCTCTGGTTTAAAACACGGACCAAATTTAATTGTTTGAAAGTTGTTGCACAATACTCAGGTGACCTATAAGGCCCGTGGGCCTCTTGTTTATAAAGAGGTTTAACAGAAAGAAACTTACCCTCTCCGACAACATATAGCGTATCTGTCGGAGGGGTGGATGTTACACTCATATGCTGTGGGGCATCGCCTGCCTCCTCGTCCACAGTAGAAGTTAGCCAAGGCATAACCCGATCGACATCTTTTGTCTGGAACATCCTATTTAGTTTCACAAAATTACAATTTTTATTAAAACAAGACAGTCTTTATATGACCAATTTCAACATAGAGGTGCTTACATGCATATTGATTCTGTTCTATTATTTTTTTTTTAATTCAGTTGAATTACTTTAGAATATTTTTTTTCTTAAAACCTGAAACGACAAGTTATGGAAACATAATACTGTTTAACAAATATTAATTGAATGAACATCATTAAAGAGTGACTGATTTTGACATATGCAAATGTGAGTGAGACTAATGCAGAAATAGAAATGACTGTCACAGAGTTTTTTCTTGTGAAATAAAAAAAAAGCAATTTAAAGTATGTTTCTAACTATCGTTAAACAATACTAGAAAAATGTCCATACCTGACAAGTAGCCAGTGAAATTACTGTGAACAAGAACACAAAGAGCACGATCCACCTATCCATTAAAAATTGCACGTAGTTTTCTATAAACTTTTGTTTCAAATTTCTATTGCACTTAAAAATTCACTAAACTGCTAACTACTTGTATATATAGGGTTCTTACCACACCTGGAATAGCCTTAAATTAGTTTTTCTTAAGGCCAATCCCAGATAATGCGTGTTAATCATGTCTGTAACATATGTTAATTTAAAAACAAATGGGAGAAACTGCGTCACTATTACTGCAAACATAAATCCGGTATATAAGCATAATGTGAACGTACCGTTCTTATCATGCATCGTCAATTAATTATTTTATATCAAATTTAATTTTTATTTAAAAAAAAAACAACGGTGCTAGATCCGGCTATTTCCAAATATTTTAACTTATTATCAAGTACATGTTGGTCACTCAATATTAGAATTAAATTTTAAGAACAAAATACATGCAAGTGAACGCATCTGAACGTTGTTTCTTTTTTGTTTTTTTGTTTTTTCGATTTCGAAGTTTAGACACACTTTTGCATGTTTACTTTTCATTGTCTTTTATTTAGGATACACGCCTGTTCTAGATGCAAATCATTTATCAGATTTGAAGATATTTGAACAAATGTTAAATAAATGATTAATCTGCGTGTAATTAACATTCAAAGTCAAATCAGACTCTACATTTCATTTGGTTTCTTTATAACCACTATTTTGAAGGAGAATCCTTTCTAATTAATTTACAAAAACATAAGGTAATTAAGCGATTTTAGTGGGTTTAAAGTAATCTACTCAAATATGCAATGTTCAGTGATTAAAAAAACTTCTAATAAATAACATTTATAGTGATGTTAAAAATAAAAGAAATATATCTCATTCTGTTACAAATTTGAGAACATAAATATAATTTTTTGCTTACATATATCAAGGTCATAATGGTTTAGCATGACGTAAATTTTTTGTTTATGAATCAGTTATGAAACATGTTGGCATTAAGTTTTCAGAAACTGCAATGTCAGTTTACTTATATTAAACCGTGTCGAAATAATGACTATTAACATTTTTTTTTTTAAATACAATTCTTGATCCTTTTTTTTGAATTATTAAAAAGAAAGAGCACATAGCCTAGCGTGTAAGGTGCTTTAAATTAAGAAATAAAGATTTAAATGAATAAGCTAATTTTTTTAAATAAAGTTTCTTTGTTAATTTGTCGCGCAAAGACGTAAGCAAAACACTCCTTTGCTAGTTTACATGTAATATTTTAGATTATCTAGAGGAACAGTATCTTAATAAAAAGTTATATTTACAGTACCAAGATACTTTCTTTCGTTTGAAAGGAATTTATTGTATAGAGAGGCGTGGCAGTGGAATCACTGCATCACGTCACAGTCACGCCTCTCTGTACAACAAATTCCTTACAAACGAAAGAAAGTGTTTTTGTAAATATCGTGTCGTGGTCATTTGCATAGTCACTCCACAGGCACTTGGGGTATGGACCACCCCCACCCACCCCTTTTCCATCGGGAGCACATAATAAATAAATGGAAATATGAAAAGGAAGAGGAATGTATAACAAATTTCTTAATGTATGCATATCCCATGTTTTATTCTGCTTTAGATTTATTATCAAGCGAAGTTGAAGCGAGGTGGGGAGGAAGGCGAAAAAAGAGTAATAAGCCTTCTCTCTTATTATGTACATGTATTACTAGTAGTCGAAAACGAAATATACAAAGACAGCTTAAAGAGACAAAAGAGTTACATTATTGATAACATATAGTGCATATTAAAATAAAAAATAGGAAAAGGGTGACTCGAACCCAGATTTATAAAGAAAAAATGGGGAAAAAAGTGGGGGTCCATACCCTAAGTGCCTGTGAGTCATTCCTTCGACAACAAACTGCATGCGACATTACGTAAGAAGCTTAGGTCCGTCGTAGAGTGTTCAAAGTTATATTTACGGTCACTTTCTTTTGTTTGTAAGGAATTTATTGTTACAGTACAAAGAGGAGTGGCAGTCGAGAGACAGTCATGCCTTACTGTATACTGGGTTATTTTCGCCCCGCTTTATTTTCGCCCTTTCACACTATTTTGCCCCGTCTTTTATTCGCCCAGTCACAGTTCCGTTTAAGAAATTGTACTGTATTCTTTGAATTCACCCCGTTTTAAATTCGCCCAACCGAGGATAGGGCGAAAGGGACGAAAATAAAACGGGGGCGAAAATTTCCCTGTATACATTAATATTTCTTACAAACGAAAGAAAGTGTCTGTAAATGTCTTGTGTCATTGTTATTTGCATAGTCACTCCCTCGGCATCACGCGACATAACGTAATTGTACTTGACTGTAATTAATTACACTTTTTGCAGAATAATTGTATATTAATTAATTACATGTTTTATAAAGCCTGTAGTTTAAGTGTCGAAAAATCAAAGTAATTGTAATTTAATAAATTACTTTTTTAAGTAATGGCCCCATCCCTGAAACGTGAAAACTATTTTCAAGAGAAATCCATGTAAACTCATTAATTAACTGCTTTAAACAACAATTTAAAGATACACAGAATTTCAGGAAAAACATTATTCAAATTTAAACAAGATAATCGAAATCTGACAATATTGGAAACAGGCTGCAGTTCGACGAATTATTAAAAGCACCTGTTTCCTGGGTTCCTTGCTTACTGATACATGTTCGTATATAAACACTCGTATATATCCTTACCAAACTGATATGTTTGCTGTAAGCGGCAGGCAAGTTTGCTGCAAGCTTACAGCAAACAAAATTATTCACAGGAAGAAAATTTTCTTGTTCGCAGATGATTGCTGCTAGCTGCAATCTTGCGGCAAACACTGCAGCAATTGCTGCAAGCTTGCAGCAAATTCGCAGGAACTCAGCATGTTAATTTGCAGGAACATTGCAAGAAACATACACACCAATTTAATGTTCGCAGCAAGTTCGCAGGAAACAATTTATGATTTAAATGTTTGCAGTAAGTTTGCAAGAACAATAAACAAGTCAAATCAGCCTATGATTAATGTAGATTGTAATGTGGTCAACACAGATTTGGCCATTTCGAAATGTTTGAATGGGATTTGCACATGTTTCAGTATTTTGTTAGGAGTATATACCGTTTTGATGTGGTGAATTTTCTCTAAAATTATCAGATTTAATTAAGTCGGGACAAAATGTGCCAAAACCATAAGGATATTGTTTGCTTCAAGTAAACAGCAATGTTTGTCGCAAGCTTGAAGCAATGTTTGCCGCAGTCTTGCAGCAAGGTTTCCTCATTTTGAAAATCTAGTGTTTGCTGCAGCAAACCTCGTTCGCATGTAAAATGTTTGCTGCAAGCTTGGTGCTAACACCAAGTCTTTGTATAGACTGTTATGCTTTCTTTAACTACATTGCCGCAAGCTTTCAGCAATGTCTGCTGCAAGTTTGCAGCAAACTTTCAGCAAATATTTGCAGGAAGGCAATATTTTTGGTAAGGGTACATGTATGCATTTTGACTATTTCACACTACATTCCATAATATTGACACCCGTTACTACGGTACTCCACTCGGATTTCCTCAGGACATGCAAGCATATCCGTAGTAACAGCAATGTAGCGGATCATGGTACGGACGAATGTAGATTTCAAGTACGTTTTGGTTTTTCAAATACCCATACTGCTTAAAATAATACATTAATTACAATTACACACTCGCTTAACATCGCTTGTCTTTTCAATGCAAACATGTCCTTCGTACTTTCTGATTTGTTTGAATACTGTACGATGGACCTACGCCTGTAACGTAATGTCGAGTGCAGTTTGATGCCGAGGAAGTGACTATGCAAATGACCATGACACAAGACATTAACAGATGTTCGGGATTTACTATATAGAGAGGCGTGGCTGTCTCGATTACGAATCGGTCGTGAACCTCAATGCTAAATATTTTTCTCTTCAAGATATGTATTTCGACTAAACATAATATACTTAATATAATTTACAGGCTTTACAGTAGCTGTTATGTTAAGTCTGCTCTCTATTTTAATAAGCTTCCGTAACAAAAAAGAAATAAAAATACTGATAACAAGGAATTTATTTCTTGATGAAAGCATTAATAACAAACCATGCATCAGTACTAGTGAAATTGACATTTTAAAAACATTAATTTCTACACGGACGATTAAAATTACAAGACTTAAACCAAGTGTTTTCTCAAACTCCATATCCACGTCGTCCTGAAATGCAAATAAGAAAAAAAATAGTTAGAGAACTTTGAACACCTGTCGTGTTCTCCTTGTAATGATCAGGAATTAGAAATTACGGGAAAAAATACCACGACAAAGTAATGTGTAGATAATAGATAATAGCCTAAAAATTGGTGTGAAAAACGCCAGTCAGCAATTTGACTTAATGATAGATCATATATAGATCATATAAAAAAAAAAATCCAGGCCATGTTTGAAATATTGTTTTAAACATTCTTTAAAGACATGGTCCTATTCGTTGAGGTAAGACTTACTACTAGGGCAACAGACAGCAAAGGCGTCCAATTCGTGTACACTACATTGGTATCCACGAGGGCAGGGCCGGTAGTTAGGGCCATCTCCACAGTACGAACCGGGTAATGGTTGCCTTCCTCCCGGACACTCTAAACACAAAAAATGGAAACACGTCTATATTTGTATAAATAAACCATTGTTTTAATTGAGGGGAAATTATTTCTCATCAAAAGAATGACAGGCATAGCTAATTCGTTCTTGATTTTAAACAAACTACACTGTATCCTTTAGGTATATCGAACACAAACACTACAAATACCGTAATATTTTTTATCAAAACCATTGAATTCAAGTTAGCGAAGTTTGGCTGTGCATGTATTCATGAATTACGAAACTTTTATAAAATGTGGAAATATTATACAATTATTGCTGTTTTTTGAGGTCAATACAATGCTTTAGCCATCTGAGGAGTACAATATTCACCGAGCCCGAAGGGCAAGGTGAATATTGTACTTCGAAGATGGCTAAATCATTGTATTGACCGAAAAAAAACAGCAATAACTGTTTTATTATATGATTCACTGATGAAATGATACAGCTCATTACTTGTTTGCATTTTATCAAGTCCTAGCCAAATACAAGAGAGAAGCAGATTTAAAATAAACCTTACCAGTCGTATCAATTTGAAATGTTTTTTTTTAATCAATTTTAGTTGCCATGAAAGAAATATATAATGTCAGTCTTTTTTTATAGGATAGATTTTGAAAGGATGGAATATTATCAGGGAAAACTGACTGCCAAAAAGTAAAAGAAAATTGTTGATCAGTAAAAGTGTTGGAGGGGGGTCCCTGCATCCCCTCTTACCATCCTCACCCTAAAATATATATTAGCTTATGTTTTGTTCACATGAAAAAAAATCAGAGTCGTTTAAATAGCTTTCCAAAACAATTTGTATCAATTTGGAATTTCCCAATCTATATTTAGATCAATATGGAGGAAATATATCCTTGTATTGACCTGGAACGTCACGTGCAGGTCAATACAACGTAGTATTTTTCTAACATAGTTGGATCTCAGCCAATCAAAGAGATGGAAATTATTCAATCATATAATAAAATATTTGATTGTACATACGTGGACAGCATATTGCGAATCTGTCTGCAGGGTCAATTTCACACTAATATCCACTTGGACAATCCTGGCGATTTGGACCTCGCCCGCAGAAAACGCCCCTCAAAGGCCTACCTCTGGGACATCTTGCCTGAGCATCAGCCTTACAGCTCAGCTACGGGTTAAATAATTCAATTAATGATATTTCCCCTATTTTTTACAAAAAAGATAAATGATATTTCCCTTACTTTTTACAAAAAGATAAAGTTGAATTGATTTTAAATATCGACATTATTTATTTAAAACTAAAATATTTCAAAAATCTAAAGATATACTTACCAAGCTCAATAATATAAGGAACACGAAAATCATACCAACAAACTTGCCTATCTTCAGATTTAGTAGGTAGGAAAATGCATTCACAGGTGACACACAACGCACTTGTGGAAAAAAAATAATGTGTACATTCCGGCTGTTACTTTAAGCTAGCGGAATCTGGTTGACACCTGTCAACATATTTATTTTGTATTTTGATAATAAGTCCAAAATCCGTGTCAAAGGTACTGCGTATTAAGTATATCCTGTTTAAAGGTGATTATCAATTTCTTTAACAATGAAAATGAAAATACATTTCTCGGTCACCAAAAAATGAATAAAAATGATTTATCTGATAATACATGTTTAGCTACTCCAAGTAATAGAAAATTCTTTGTATAATAATAATAAAAAAAAGTACTATTAAGCTCTCCTTTCTTTTCAGTTTTTTAAAATACATTTTTCATTAAAGAGGCTGGGGGTGGCAGCCATTTTCAGACTATTTCGCTCTCCTTTAAAAGAAGAGCTCCATATAAAGATATACAAATATGATCAAATTTTTAAACTAAAATGTGTGAAATTTTTCTTTGTCAAATGATAGTTGACAGCTTAAGATACCGTATCTTAAAAAACAAGTTAAATCTGGTGGTTAATTTGTGGTTAATTTGTTGACCCCCCAGCCTTCTTAAAGGCGTATGAATCTCTCGTGATCAATATTTGCTGTGCGTTTCTAATACACATGACTGTACGTTTACTTTGTGATCTTCGTTCTAGTCCTCAATAACAAACTAGAGGTACTGTGAGCAATGAGCTCACTAAATGGTACCCCCCGCCTCCCATATGGTTATAATGGCAAAGTCCATGTTTTGCTGTGGCCGGAAAACCAAAAATATGTGTCGGATCAAAAAGTAAAATAGGAGGTGCACAATGACAATATGTAATAAAGATTCTGTGAAAGTTTCATTAAATTTCACTTAGTGGTATAAGAGGATTTGCGGAGAAAAGATGGGTACCCCAAAGCGTAACAGACAGACGGACGGACATACCGATTACAGTATACCCTCCCACTTTTCAAGCGGTAATCAGACAAAAAAGATTTCAAAATTAACAAGTTTTTAAAATATGCAAATGGTAGATTTTGTAATATCTGGCTTTGTAAATGAAACATGGAAATAACGAACAGTATTCTAGATCAAAAGTCAATAAAACAATACAAAACAGGAGTAGAGCAAACACGAACCTCTAAAACATCAGAGGTGGGATCAGATGCAATGTAAGAATGAACATCCCCTGCCGACAGCCCCCGCCCTCCCTCCGTGTGCCCCTTGTCCTAATTGGAAAATCCGTCGTCGATTTAGTGTACAAATAATGGACTAACAATTAGTATGAAAAACGTCAGTCAGCAAATGACTCAATGATAGAATGTATTTGCTGACAAGGTCATTGTATCGACCACAGAAGTTACCAAATGATGACTTTAAATGAGACTGCTGATATTCTTGTTTGATAAACTTGTTTGTCAATAATTTACCTCGTTTTAAAAATTATTCATGCGTAGATTCCTACCTTCTTATCGAATTACCTGATATATGTAAACTCCGTATGCAGGTGATAAAGGTATATTGCTGCATAAGGAAGGGAAGTTGACGACAGAAAAGCACGTGGAGACCGGTGCTTCGGATGAGACCATACAAACTGAAGTTCCGTGTTGCAGAAGTGCTGGCACGAAAAAGATGCCTCCGGCTCTGAGTGCCGAGGATGGAACAAAATTTTTAGCTCTCCACCGGTAAGTGTTTGTGATAAATTCTCGAAAGGGACGTTAAACAATATTCAGCCAATCGGCATACCGTTATACATTTGTGTCTTTGTTATTTATGTCCTTTTGACTAATGGCAGTATAATTTGCATTGTGGTCGATGTCGAAAGGTTACCCAGTAAATATTTATTTTCTTTGCGTTTGTCAAATTTTTTTTTTTTAAACAAGATGTGTTTGTGAAACACTAATGCCCTTGTATAGCATCTTATGACAGAGGTTGGATTTTTACAAATGAAAGTCGCCAAGGTCAAGATCTTTTTTTTTTTTTTTGATAAAGAGGAAGGTGTTGTCACAATGCATGTACTGTTTGTTGGACAATTATCGTGAGAGGGTGGAAAATGACAAAGTACAAATTCATAATAAGAATGTGACAAAATATCAAGTATGTGTAAATTTAACATGTGGGCTAAACAGGCCTATCAACACTGAAAACGCACGTTTTTACAAAACATTGTAGTTGCAGACTTTAAACATACTAAGAAATACTGCATAGTTTTATAAGACAATTATGATCAAGTTAGATATAAATTTAATTAAAACAATTCGAAACTTACTCCTTAGAGAGGCAGACGCAAAATTTAATAGCAAACTTTACACACCCCTACTAATGTGTTCGGAACCTTTTATTTTTGGGTGTTCTGCAAATTATACAACCTGATGAGTTCAGAGTAGCTCTGGCAGTGGCTCTGGCGAGAGTTAGCGAGACTTCAGCGAGATAGGGTAAATTATTCGCGGAAATGTGGCTAGGAAGTGACTGGCACGTGGAGGTATGGTAAACAGAAGAGTTATGTTGCGTTTCAGTTTTCACCACCCTAGAATCAGCTGATAATGTCTGTAGAAATGTACTTCAATTAATCGATCTCTTTTACATTCATTTTAAATAAGTATTCTCTATAATACAACTTTCTGCAGTCATGAATTAAAATTTCTTTTTGGACAAATATTTTTGCATGGGAACCGGGACTATATTTTTTGGCATCAGATTAGCAAATGAGGCACCAGCATGATTTTAACTGACCAATCAGCTAAATGAGTATTGCATTATAGGTTACTACGAATACTACAGGAATTTTACGCTTGAATAAAGGAAAACCTTATGGTAAATGAAAAGCATTTTAAAAAATATTATTTTCATGCTCCTACTGACAAAAAATTCATTTGTTAAATAAACGGCGGAAGTCTATCAGGTTTCTGAACGTCATACTGCAAAAGCGTTTTGCATCTGTTTTAATTCCTTTGTTGTACTATCGGTGAATACAATTGCCAGGCGAATTCCCTGGCCGAACACGTGATCACGAACGTAAACAAAGTTTTGTCCATTTAAATGCATAAGAGATGCTGCTCGTTTTCCTTACCCTTGAAGCGCTGGTGTTCTGAACTAGAAGTAAACTACATTTTATTAAACAATTTTTTCCATTTAACAACAAATTAAAAACGCCAATAACATCTTTCATAGTTTCGTATCTTTGTATTTTGTTCGTAAGAACATTTTTTTTTATTTTGCAGTCCATTAACATGATCGTAGATTGACCTGAACTACGTGTTCGAAGTAAAATGTAAACATGTATTTGGCGTAAACGTTGCTATTCATTCAACGATTGGTCAGTTGCTCGTGGATCCTCTGTGCGCATTTATAACAATAGCCATATAAGGCAAACAAAGGTTTGTTGGTGTATATGATTATGTACATATTTTATCAGTGAATCGGTCACTAGTGAGCTCTAATTTTCGCCGAAAAGTATATAAGATATATTGTTATTTTAAACCCCCCTCCTTTAGCCACCCTTTTTCTGTTAAAAATCATGAAAGTATTTCAGAAAGGTCTGGAAACATTTATTACAGGACATGTTTTCAAAAGAAACAGGCTATAGCAATACAATGAAGCGCATTGAAGTGGTAAAATTTTCTGTTCGGATGAAAAGTTTTGAGCTATCTTTAGACACGCCCATTTCTTTAGAAAGGAAAACTCGGTCAAATGATTCAATCGAATACCTGTAGAACAGATATTTCATAAATATAACATCCAATGAAATTGACGGTTTATATAAACACCGAGTAAGCACGTGTTCGACTGATACATGTGCCATGCTAGCTCCAGTAAACATGATAAAATCATAAATTATGGACAAAATCGTTGCGATGTGTGTTTTCCATAAGCGGGGACTCTATACATGTCTTTTTGTAACTCATGTTGATTGTCGCGGCAAGTGCAGTGTCCTAAAACATTACGACGGATATTCCTTTCTCGTTTCTAAAGAAATGGGCGTGTCGTTATGCTATAGGTGACCTTCAAAACATGACTCATAACTTTTCGTCCAAATGGAGAATTTTACCACTTCAATGCGCTTCATTGTACCATGTTTACTGCTAATTTTATTTATAAAACCGGTTCTACCCTATAACCTTTGAATAGATCAACCTATACCACGTGTTTTGAATTTAAATCACAATAACATTAGTAGGGGTGCTTTACAGGTAAAACCGCATGGCTGTCATTATAAAAAAACAGAATATCGAACCCGAATCAAAATAAAATTATGAATACAAAAACGGAACAATGCATGCATATTTGAAGAATGAAAACTCGAGAATTATTGTTCAAAAGTTGAGGCCAAATATATATGTTTGTCTAACTTCAAGGTCAAGTTTAGCAACTTCAAGGTCAAAGAAAATTCTTGTCACAGGGAATACACCTGTGAAATAATAAAGCCATAACCCCACCCAGTCGAAAGTTACGGGCAATGATAAAGTTTTAACGGAAAAACAGAAAGGCAGATGGACGGACAAGACAATAACTACATGTATATACTCCTGAATCTTCCATTATGGGGGCATAAAATTCCAGACACGTGAACAAATCGATTTAGCTCATTGAATATCTTTATTGACACCATTTTAATATTCCACAAATGGAATTCACATATTAATGCAAGAAATCCAAAATTTAATTTTCGAAACACAAAATCTGATTTTCGAAATTAAAAAAAAAAATTGTAAAAACGAAAGCGTATGACAATATGAGCCTTACAGCAATAATTGTGATTATACCAAAAACACAGATCAGAAGAATGTCACTGGGAGACTACTGATCTGAAACCTGAATAAAACAGACAAGGGTCAATTTATTTGTTCTGCAAGATTTCACACAGAAATGACATTGTTGCTTCACAGTTATTATCATTCCACCACCATCCCTTATCTTCTGCGAATTCCAGGCAATCTTCATTACCACGAAAATCGTTCGGCTCTCCTTGAGCCCAGAATGTGAAGTTTATATTTGTATTTGTAGACGCCCATTTCCAAACACCCTCTGTTTCTTGGTCTGTGCCTCCTACCCAAACACCATCTGAAAATGTCAAGATTTTTAAGATTGTTATATAACATATTATGTTGCATTATTAGTGCATAGATAATATATATGATTTTCACATGCAAAGAAATGTTAAATATCCCGGTCATTTTACATCTTTTTAGTTCATGTTCCGATAAATGTGGGTCGTTAATTAAGATTCGGAGGTATAAAGTTTTTGCCTTGTCCGTCCGTCTGTCTTTCTGTTCGTCCAGATAAACTGAAACATTGCCCATAATTTTGACTGGATGGGACTCTGGCTTTCATATTTCATAAATATATATATATATGTACTCCTTGAGAGAAGACCTTTCTTTGGGTTCCACTACATTTGACATTGACCTTTGAGTTTGACACACCTTTACACAGATATATCTAACTTTTACTTAGGTTATAACTTTTTAACGTTTGGTGCTATGATTTTCTTTCTTCTCATATGCATTTTTTTTCAAGACCCTCCATTAGATACATGTATCAACAACTTTGACGTTACAGATTGGCAAACTTTTAATAAACTTTATCCTTGGCTATAACTTTTGAACGGTAAAAGCTATGACTTTCATACTTTAAGCATGTAATTCTTGGGACAAGGTCTTTCATTAGATACCAGCAACATTTGCCCTTGACCCTGGCCTACATTTAAGAAACTTTTAAGGGAAAGACAAACCAGAGTGGACAAAAAAGCTGTTAAAGGGACTGAAAATACCACGTAGATATTAATTATCTAGTGTTGTACAGCCTCCATTCTCAAAATAATTGGTTTTAGATTTAAAAAGAAAACGGGGAGGGGTGGGGGACTCAGGTTTTTCTGCATAGTTGAGAATGGCTCAATATAATTTATTAAGTTCTTTTATTTTATGTTTGTATTTATATACAGATGACGGATTTGAAAAGGAAATCCTTAGCAGATGAAGGGCTTATCGATATCATTTATGTGACCAATAAGTGGAAAAGAGACACGTCGTTTTCCCTCATATTTATACATATCACATTCCTCCGGATAGCGCGCTCTTTCATTTTAGCTTCTGCCATTTCAATACAACAGAAAAAAGAAGTACAGGACCATATTGCACACTTTACTAAACACATGCAAACAGCAGACGATATAGCTGACAAAGGGAGAAGATATCTCCACAAGAATAAGGATTCCATCCAACTGGTGGAGGGAAACCAATACTGTAAAATGAGGGGGAAAGAGTCCCATGGCCTATAAACAAGTAGGCTAAGAAAGACGACCTCAACCTCCACTAGATCTGGCTCAGGAGACAACACAATTGCAAGCCTACTTACTCCATTGGCTGCCACGACGTGGCCAGCTGAGAAAGTCCTGGCAACACATGAGCCACTTTTTGCAACGAAACCGATGGAAGCAGCCATTATCCCATTTTACGAATGACAACTTCCTCAGCTGCGAGCCCAACCTGGACTTCATATATAGGAGTTTGAGTTATGCAACGCCCATCAGGTCAGTAGAGACATCCACTGCATCTGGGATAGGCAGGAGAATTTCAGAAAAAGGTTATGAAGATGAGGGAAAAGAGAAAGCAGGGAAAGAAAAATGTGATGAGGAAGAAGAAAATGAAGTAGTTAAGAAAAAGAGTAGTAAAAAGAGGAAGATAAAAGAATCAAGCAGTAGTTCCAGCAGCTCGAGCATTGACAGGAAGAGTAAACATCCAAAGAACAGAAACAACACCAAATACCACTGAGAGCGGCTTGTTCCAAAACTGGATACAATGAACAATCACAATGTATCTGAGAAATAATAGATGATCTACGTATTCGAACACCAAGAGTGACAAGCACATCTGCCACAATTTCCAGTACGTACCTGAGAGGAAGAACATCTAGAATAAGATCTAAAATAACAGTCAGGAGAGACAGACCTGAAGGAAGTACATGTAGTACTTTATTTGTTGATGTTGCTTTTATGTTTATATATAAACACATATAATGCATTGTAAGAGATGTGTATTTTATTTAATATTTTTAAGGTTTTCAATTGTGTTCAAACGTCAAATGATTATTGTATTTGTTATTTAAGTTTCCGTCAGGATACCGGAACTTAAAAGGGTAATAACGTTCTCTTGTATTATGGCATTGATTTTGAGATGGCCAGATAATGTTATTTATTGAATGTACTTAATTTTTCATGTTTTAAATTTGTAAATTGTAGAAAACATGTATTTTTTTAACACTATATTATGCCCAGGTACTTATTTGTAAAGTGTATGTACGAAATTCATCTTATTTATATAGACTGTTGCAGTGTTTGAATGTTACGTATAATATATCCTGAGGAAAGTCGGACTGAAATGTTATACGTACTTTTCATTTATCAGTAATCATTGAATATTTTAATCGGCAAACCTACGAAATCATTCCCACGCTACCTGATGCATTTCTTGTAATATTAGGGTATATTATGCACTATCGTAAATCCATTATTTCGTACGCTTTTTGGAGAGCACACAAAATAAACATTTAAAAAAAAAAGAAATTTAGGAAAGTTTTCTGATTAACAATGAAAAATAGTACCTGTGATTTTATTGGCTGATCTTGCCGAGATAATGCTGTTTCGGATGAAAGTATTTTCATCCTCAGTTTCTATTTCCGCCAATTTTCCCCCAGTATCAAAACACCATAGCTGAAAAATGTTAACTTCGCCATCACATTTAAAACATTGATTCCCGGTATCACAAGAAGAATGATATAAAATTTGTTTCTAAATAAACCCAAGAAGAAAAAAATGGTTTGGAATTTACCTGAGAATCATTCCAAGTCATTCTGGTCGTAAATAATATATAGGTTGAATTTCCATAAGAGTACGATAAATGTGGAGAAACTATCAAAGAAAAAGTCCGATGTACATGTATTTTAAAGGCAATAAAGAGAAAAAAAACCCATTCATTTATACACTCTATAGACTTCTTTGTTGGCAATTAAAAAAAAGTAGACACTGAGAGAAATACAATCTGATTACTTGAAAAAAAATATCAATAATATGTCCTTTTATAGTAAAAGAAAAAAAAGTGAAATAAAATGAATGAGATGAAAAGTACTTACTAATTATATTTTTTAAACGACTAATTTGACGCTGTAGTGATAGGATTTGCTGGTTTGGCTCTGTTAAAATATTTTTTACATTAAAATAATACAGGTTTGTGCATTTTAAAAAAATATGAAATTAAAAAGAAAATCTGCCTATTAATAATGATATACAATTATATCTATCATACAAAAAAAAACCCTCACCGATCACTTTTTCCTGATTTTCTTGTATACTCGTACTCCCCACTAAAAATAAAAGGCAATATGAAGATCATTTTAAATTCCTATTCTGATTTTACAATTTACGTAATTTTAATTTTGAATAACCTTAGTGTAAAAAAGATAACTTTGATTAATAAGTTATGATTGATAAATATTGTTTTCAATGCTGAGTTTGAGGATTGCACCTTTAAAATCGAGAACAGTTATTAAACAAGTACAAAAAGATTGTTCGAGAAAAAAGGACAAAACTTACTATTTCCTGTATTAAGCTGAATAACAAACAGTGATGTCATGGTGACGAATCCACACATAAAAACAACACACATTATAAAGGCTATCCACGTTTTAATTGATGTCCTATGTTTTACAAGTTTGGTAGATTTCTTTTCATCTCTTTCAAGTTTGTAATAGTCGTTTTCATCCTTTTTAATCTCTTGGTTTGATTCCATAGCATTGTTTTCTTTGAGCTTTAACGTTAACAGAAAAAAATATTAAGAAACTAAATTAAAGAAATATCAATATTTAAATTGATAAAACTGACGCTTTATAAAATTGACGCTTTCTTATAAATTATACTTGTACAATACATAACAAAAACATGGCCATGAATTACACTAAAATTTGTTTTAATATCTTACTCTTTCATATCTGCCGTCATCCTTTCTTTCTTTCTAAAAAAAAAAGTCAACTTGGAGTTTCGGAATGAATGTAATATTTTGTAATATTTTTTTTGTCATTATGTTTGTTACAAGTGTAACAACTGTTACAAAATTTACACAAACAGTTGAAAATGGATAAATTTTATTCATTGAAAAGGATTTTTTTAAATCATGTATTGTTTGAAAATTAGTACTAACAAATTCAAAAGAAAAACACAAATTTCATTTATTTATTTTTTCCTGGTTTAATTCCAGTGCTTACCAGACATTCATACGATCTGTCAACAGTGGTCATAAATGTTGGATAGTGATATTCGTTCTTTATCTCGTCCTATTGCATGCAATAGAAAAAAATGCATAAGGCCTAGATACTCTAGAGGATTAATAAATGTATGTAATGTTTAGTATTCAGACATATTCTTTACTAATACTGTAAATGGAAATGGAAAGCGTTTGAATGGAGACACAATTATTTCACTCTAAATTTTTTTTTAATTGAAATATCAATTACAGTGTACTTGTGGTTGGAAGTGTGTTTCCTCAAATATTTTTTTTTAAATAATGGTTATCAAAATTTGTACTTACACACAGTTCAGCCATACTGCTTTGTGTGTGGTAAATCTTATTGAATCCTCTATATTTTTAGTGCTTTGCTTGGTTTTTTTCTGATTGAGAAAATTAATCAGATTGTTGTTTCTGCGAATTAAAAACTATTGAGGTTATTTATTTTTACTTAGGCCATTATTGTAAATAGCCCGAGACATAAATATTACTTCTTTTCATATCAGGAAAAAGACATTCTTTTCTGATAGACTTTCTTTAATGCTTTGTTTGGAAGTTCTCTACCGACCGACTAAAAATGGCCCGTCAAAAAAAACTTTTTTTACACTACCGGATAAGAAATTTTTTTCTTTTTAATCCTCTTCATTCGTTAAACAGATATGCTGATTTTCTTTTTCAAAAGAGATTTTTCACCTACCGAATAATTCAACCCCGAGTCGGGAGAGGGCTATTAAACAATATTTTAAAAGATAGCCGTATAAATGAATGATTATGATTTATGATTGTAAATGACAAAACTATTAAGATTGTAATATAACATATTATGTTGCATTATTAGTGCATAGATAATATGATTTTCACATGCAAAGAAATGTAAAAATGATTTCACGTTTTATGACCATTTCAAAAACAATCAAAATAGTAACTTTCTTTGAATCCTTATTTAAAAAAGATTGAAAAAAGGACAATAACAGGAAAATAATTATGTGAATCTTGTGCCTAAATAACTCTCTGTTACTTTAAATCTAGTGCCTACATAACTTTCCTTTACTTTAATGATGCAAGTATAAAAGACTGATTCCCGAGATTTGAACAGAAAGTACGAACTGCACTGACAGAATTGAGATTCAGAATTGGAACGATTAAAAAACATTATTCTCCCTTCTCATTAATTTTCAACTTCATATTTTATAAAAAATATTAGAAATTTAAATAAATTTATTTCAGTTTAAACAGCATGTGAAGTACTTTGTGATTATCAGAAATGAAATGGCAAATATACTTAATAAAGATTTTCAGATATCAAATGAGGTTAGAAAAAACTGTTCAAACATAAGTTTATAGTTCTTTAGGTACTGCTGATAAAAAATAAAATATGATAGAGGTACATCAATTTATTTTTTTTTAAATTACAATATTTTTAAGTATTTCAAATGTTAGAAAAGTCAATATTCATATTATAAAATACGTTTTTTATATTTAGTTCACTTGTCTTAAGAGAAAGACTTAAAAAACACGTACCTTGTAGTATTTCCACTTAATATCGATGGTCAATCTGGCTGGTAAACTGACACAGGCCGGAAGGAAATAGACAAGGGTAATTCATCCGTGACTAACTTTCTATGTAAGTATTTATTACGCTTTGTTTACAATAATTTTTCCAGCCGTCGGAATGATGACAAGTCCGACTCAGTATGGAAATCTGAAGTCGCCTCCTTTTTAATAGTTTTGATGTGAAAATCACCGAAACCGATAGAACAAAACAGTGCTTGTATCTTTTGCTAAAATTATTTGACCTAATTTTGAGACTCTGAAATACAGAAGGCCAAGCAAACGGAGATAAAATGTCCGGATTCAACGGAAAAGGACATTAATTAATCATTCAATATGAAGGACAAGCGAATTGATTACTTTCATTGAATTATTGATTGACATGTCAACTGCCCCTCCCCCCCACCAAAAAAAATTACAAAAATTTTTACCTTTTTTCCAATCGATATATTTAATTTTTTCATAGACTGACTAAAAATGCTTATTTTTTAAATACCTATAAATTAGGGATCCGTCGTGTTATTCTTTGTTTTTTTCAATCGATATGAACAATTTCTTCTAAGGTTAATTTAATTTTTTTTCATATACCTATCTAAAATTAAAAAAAAGTCGAGAGTTAAAATTAATCATTATATACATATGGTTATAAAGTGGTTGTTTCCCTGGCGGTTGCACTTTCTTTTGAACTTTATTATAATCTGAAACCTTTTTTAACAACAAGGTAAAGTGCTTTGTTATACATGAGAACGTGGCAATTAAAATACAAAGCATTTTTCAATGATTTGATTGATTGATTGTATACTGTTTAACGTCCCTCTTCAGAATATTTCACTGATATGGAGATGTCACCATTGCCGGTGAAGGGCTGCAAATTTAGGCCTATGCTCGGCACTTACGGCCTTTGAGCAGGGGGGGATCTTTATCGTGCCACACCTGCTGTGACACGGGGCCTCGGTTTATACGGTCTCATCCGAAGGACCGCCCCATTTAGTCGCCTTTTATGACAAGCAAGGGGGTACCGAGGACCTATTCTAACCCGGATCCCCACGGGAATTCAATGTATTTGAAATGTATATTACCAGATATAAGAGAGAGTTTAAGCTGAACAGGACTCGTACATAGGCATACGCCATTTCGATAGCATTATCTACGATACAACAATACTAGGGTATACTCGTCGCATTCATTACACCTGACTGCTTTATTGTCACGGGTACGTATCGGCGTGGAATGGCAACCTGTGTTCGTGCTGGTTATCTTGCATTACCTTTGTTTATATTTTATAGCACTCCATTTATCTATGTTGTTTGAATACTGCACTGACCTATACAATTATTATAATTGTAAATTTTATTTGGTATCTTACTTTCCTGCATTAGACGAAGTATTGCGTTATTATTCTCGCTACCGAGTCCTGTACAACATACGTCCGTCTACACCGGTGTAGACTGATTACACTCAATCTTCTAATTAATACTGTCAACCTATGTTTATGTATAAATTATTTTTATACTTATAATGGAATTTTTAAAATACCAAGAAATATGCAAAATTAATTTCTGATACTTTGATACGTAGCGAGATTCTTATAGGTAATTTCTTTGTTTCATATACTTATTTACATATCTCTTGAAAGTTTCTTCATATTTTTTTTTTACACTGAATTTTTTTGCCATTAGGACTTCGAATCAATAACGTCTAAGGAAAAAAATCAACGAAGCACGTATGTTTCAATTCACTGTAAATCGTGTTCACAGTTTTAATTAGCCAGCTGTTTTTTCTGCTATTAAGGTTGATTTGGTATAATGTCTAATATACACACACGGGAGAATAGCTTTGTGTCAGATGAATTTACTTTTTAATCCATCCGCTTTGGAAAAGAGATGGTGAATTTTTTTTACCCTTGTGTGTCTGTCTGTGTGTCTTTCTCTCTGTCTGTTTCTGGGACTTCAAATTTCCTTTTTTGTTTTCTAATTAACTAGTTTTCGCAGTTGCGTGAAATAGTAGCACACTCTTTGTTTAGGCATATCATTTGGTGACAAGACGTTGGTAACGTATGCCTCTGGTGTGCTTGAAATGCAAATCGCAGAGTTTTGAACATTTTTTAGTGTTTTCCATTATATGACAGATATATTTTTATCAATATGCCAAGAAAACTGCTGAATGACACCGGATACAGTTATATTACACTAAAAAGATTATATTGCCCTCCAGATCACAGTTATATTCCCTCGCATGTAATCATTCTGCATATTAATTACGTCAATTTCGAAATTCACAGAAGCAGTTGCTATGAAAAACGTGAACAGTTCCGTTAAATTGGACAAACTTTGCAATTCGTTCATTAAAACTCAGA